GTGGTTGGATTGTGTAAGAAGAGCTCCTCCTACGCAAAAAGCTTAAAGTGGGGCCGACCCGGAAACACAACGACACACCGCAAGGGGGGGTCGGGGGGGGAATTCTGGGAGTTGAAGTCCACATGTCTTCAAGTGGCCGAGGCTGAGAAACACTGTGCTAGAGATATGTTCCTTGCTGACCTTTCTTTTGTTCCTGGCAGAACTCTTGACTCCCTTCATCAACAGAAGCGAAGACTTAAGAAGATTTCACTTTCATACATACAATGCTCAAATGTTCAGAGTGCTTCTCAAATTTCCTATTATTGTCCTTGATTTGGCACCAGCACAGCGGCTGCAGGTACAATCTGAGGTCAATTCTTAACCATTCAAACACCTTTCTCCGAGCTGGTGATTTCCAGATAGGTTGGATTACAACTCCCATCTCCCCAGTCAGCGGACTCATTGCTAGCGGACATTGAAGTAGCACCATTCAATGATGGCGGCATATTAAGATCGCCTTCAGGCGGTCTTTCCATGTGGTCCCCATTCCTGAGAATGTGGTGGGCAAAAGAGGGAGGCATTCTCAGTGCTGACTGCAAGCCTCTTCTACTGACTTGAATCTTGGACCTCCTCTTCTGCTGAGATACTGAGACAAATCTTGAAAGCCTTTCACTGAGGTTACAATAAACTTGGGTTTTGGTATTGCTCCGTTCCCTGCTCTGACGTTCGCTTGTCATTTTTTGAGGTCACAATCTTGGCAAACTACCAAAATACTTATGCAAGATAAAAAACCAGGATTGAATCTAATGCCTACACAGAACTTGCCTTGATGTGCTTTTGAGAACCAGATCCTAGGCACAACGGCTCCTTTAGGTCCTGCTTGTAAACTTGCAGAGAAATTGGTCTGTGGTCACTGGAAACTGAATGATGTGGGTCTTGAGCAGATCCAGAAATGCATTTTTCGGTATTATTAATCCTGCAGCTTTTCACAGGGAAAGCATTCATGTCAGATAGTGGACAAGGAATGCATCATTTTTTGTGTGTGTGAAAACACAATCCATTCCTCACTTACAGCTGCAAAAACAGGGATCAGGAAGGGCTGACGACCCACTCCAGGTTTGAAAGCTAGGATTAGTTTTTCAATCTCCCTTTGCCACCTGTGAAATGGGAATGGGTGTGACTTAGCTTAAAAGATTCAACATCCATGATCCGTGGCCTAGTTCCATGCCAAACGGGCCCTCAACTGCTGAGTTGCAGCCCTTCTGCCTGCCGGTGATGCTGAACGGATTAAGAAGGCTTTACTTAACTTCACGTTGATGAGTACCATCCTGCTGAGAATTGCCAGCTGATGTGCTCCAGGAACTTTCCTAACAATCTGGGGATTTCAAAATTGTTTGGCGTTTCGGGACAAATGAAAAAAGGCAGCAGAAACAGATTAAAGTGGTGGTGGGGGAGCACCGGTTGGAATCTGTTGCGCAGTTGAGCACATTGGATCCTACAGCAGTAGGATCATTCCATCGTTCCCTCATTTGTCCCAGTTTCGAACAGCTCCTAGAAACCCTCCTTCCTCCCCATCATTTCCAGCAGCAGCAGCAGCAGCAGCAGCATTTTCTTTGCTTTGAAGAGAAAAGGTTCCGTGAACTCTGTTTAAGGATATGAGATGTGGGAGATAACGCAATCCAAGCAGAAAGCATGTGTTGGTGGATGAAATTCCATTCTTCTGCAAGGGAGAAGAAATAAAATACATCTGATTTCACTGAGCAGCAAAGCTTCACGCTACTGAAGATGACATCATCTTTATTTTGAAATCTCCTCCTTTTGGGTTCTTTTAAAGAGGCAGTTGGAAATTGGGCAGTCATGCCTGCCTTTCCCTGAATCTTTTCTGCAATTCTGAGAATCAGTTAGAGAAAATTCCAGTGCAATTCTAGGCCTGGATGTGAGTCAGTGGAATTTGGTCCCAGGAAAGTGGATATAAACATATAACCTTCTTTAATCCTATTTATTTACCAACCTCATTATTACGTTTGCCCATATTTGTATGTACAACATCAATTCTGGGTAGAGAAGGACCTGTTAGCATTTTAGCAGGTCTCCTCTAGGCCCTGGACTTAAGGAAACATTTTTAAGGTTGCATTTCTGGATGGCAATACAGTACTCTGAAGGGCTTGTTTTAAAGCTTATAAAATTAAAAATGCTGCCTAATTAATTAGGGGTGTCATTTTGATCAACTCAAAGGTTAATTATTCTGTTTTTCACTGACTAATCAGCGAAAGCTTGCCACGCTAATTTTGAGACGGCAGTGGGATATTTTTTCATGATGGCTTGGGGATGTATGACCGTTTGCCCCTTCTGAACTAACCAGTCATTCTCAGACTGCTGGAAGGGTGCTCAGAAGGGTGCGTTGGTACCCCAGAACAGCCTTCTATCCCCCTGAGGTGTTCGTGGGGAGGGAGTCGTAATCCTAAATATCTGGAGAGTACCAGGTTGGGGAAGCCCCTGCTCAGAGGAAGAAAGACTCAGGCCTTAGTGCAGTGCTTCTCAACCTTGGCAACTTGAAGATGTGTGGACTTCAACTCCCAGAATTCCCCAGCCAGCATAGCTGGCT